CGAATTAATGATGACGGCCTGATGAAATCAGGATAAACTGAGAGCGAGAGCAAGCAGACGTTCAGAAGAAGGCACTTCACTTCTGGGAGGGTCAGTATCCAACAGAGGTCCCTATTCAAAGAACGTCAGAGCCTCAGTTTAAAATGCTTCTTTATTCTGTCCACCCATCTGGTAGATTTTTCACTTGTGGCATGAAGTCTGGTTCACATTGCAGCTAATTCTGAGCACGAACGGCTCACTTAGGCAGGAAGAGGCCAGCTGACTGACATGTAAATGTGATAAACCTTTGTCACACTGTTTTGTTTTTACATGGCCTGTGTCCTGGAAGGCAAGGCAACATTTGGATCAGCCAATATGTATTAAATGGTCATTGATAAGGTTTTAAACGGTCTGTGAGGACGTCTTCACACCTGGCTCATTTGGAGATTCTGGTGCATTTTCTCCCTTTGTTCGGTTCAGTTAAGCATATGTGAACGCGACAATCATATTCGGAATCTTACCAAAACAACTGCCCTGAACGTGGTGGTCTCGACCCAAATAAAACCAACTCTAGAGCCCCTCGTTTGTGGTGAGAAAGCAATCTGACCCAAAACAAAGCAATCTGTATGTAACAAAAATTGTTCACTTAATTTCTTTATGGTTCTTCTGTAATTCTGTGGTGCTAATTATTACTGTACTATTTATTGTCACGAAGCATCAATATTTTGGTCAGGAAAATGTTCGAACTTCTATTACTGATTATGCATACGTTTTGCTTGTTTATATCTATATATATATATATATATATATATGTATGTATATATATATATACTGTATATATATACGAAGAGTTCGTTTGCAAAAACCGATAAAAGTCACTTTAAAAAAGAAAATGAGCTGATTGCTGTCCATTATTCTCCACATATAGTGCGATCTAAACCCTAAACACGTTTTGTCAAAAAAGACGGTTTTGTCCTGTTTCAAGGCATCGCGAGTTCACGTTTTACTGCAGAAGCCGACAAGCGGCCTTGTTGGTTTTGAACAGAAGCCGATAAGTCCATTTTAGCGAATCAGCGCGCTGTATTCAGGTCAGGTGACAAGGATACAATATATATAGCTTTTGGAACAAAGCAAACAATCTACAGATCTGATAACGCCCTTAGAAATCTCTTTTTGTGTCCTAACCAACTCTTACTACTTAGATATATGTTTGTACCTTCTGAAAAAAATGTCTTTGCGTTCTGGTGGTTCTTTTGTTTTGTTCATCAAATGTCATTTAATTCACTCTTTCAGTGTAGCTATCTGTTTGTACACTACAGGCTTTTTAACTGGAGTATTTAATAGATTTTCCAACCCTTTCCATGGCTGTTGAAAATTGACTTGGGTCATATGCCAAAAATGCGAAGGGAAAAAAAATGGTTTGAAAACACGTTTGATTCTTGCAAACAGCACCAGATAGGCAGTGGTTGTAAAAGTTTAACTGATCTGTGAAAAGGGGAAGCTACTACTGGGCCACATGTTCTTGAGTTAATTGCCTGGCTGCTTTGAGACACCTATGAAAATCTGATCATTAAAGAAATTGGTAAAACATTTATTTGCCCTCAAAATCTCAAGATGACGCAGGATCTGTTTTTAAAAGCTTTAAATTTTTTTACTGTGGAGCTTTTTTATGAAACACTCCTTGATTGCTCAGAATTGTTGTTTTTCAAAAAGGTTTTGTCACAAACATTTGCATCTCCATCCCCGAAACAACTTTTGCATACCGTAAGTGACCATGGGAAGCTACAACATAGTAATTACCAATAGTGACAATTCTGTCATCAGTTACTCACCGTCAGTAGTGTAGTCAGTAGTTCTAGCAGTAGCTCAAACGTGCTTGCACGACATGCAACAATAAACCCTGCTGGTTCTCATGCTTTGAGCAAGTACTTTTGTGCATCTGCTTACCATTTTATGTGCTCTATTCATGTGCATTAATCAATGCTTACATGTAAATAAAGCCTAAATTAAATCTGTTCATCATATAAAGTGGCCGTATCTCTTCAGAGGACTTGGAATAAACTGCATGATTACACCATGAAACAATTTTTTATAAAAAGTTTGTTTCGCTTTAAAGAAACAGATTAGCTTGTAAAAGTTGTGTCAAACTTCATAAAGAAACATTCAAATGAATCTTCATAAAGAATCGTAATGTTTCTTTAAGAAGTTTGACATGCTGAACACTTTTTGTTTATCGTTAACAGTGCTCATGAAAAATAATATATATTATATAGCACTACAATATTACAGAATGTTACAGAAACTTCTAGAATGTTCCCATCCTTGCAAAAGCAACATCTTAATAAATAAATAAATAGTACAAAAACTCACAGTATCTTATCTTACTAAACCAATGTTTCATAATGATAGGTCTAAAATTTACCTGAACTAAATATTTACCAAAATATTGATGCAATGTGAAAATAAGTTGTACAATAATAATTAGCACCACAGAATTACAGAAGAACCATTAGAAACTAAGTGAAACAAATTGTGGTTACATTGTGCAATGGATTTCTTTTTTTTTCTTTTTTGACGTGTCCATTTGGGTGAATCACTCAAGTTCCATTAACAATATCTTCATTTGTGTTTCCAAGATGAACGAAAGTATGGGTTTGGAGCAACGTGAGACTGAATAAATAATGACAGATTTTTCATTTTTGGGTGACTGCAGAGAATTGGTTGCCTGGGACGATGATCAATTATGCAGTTTAGTGTTATTATTCAAAATAATTGACCACAGAATGAATGAAACATTTCATTCAGTCAGAATGAAATATCCCAGAGCGTGGAGTAAAAATGCATTTGATTAATTTTGTGTTAAAGATCAAACTTTCCAAAGCTTTTCATGGAGATCATTTCTTCTAGTTCACTCTCTCCTGTTCTTTCTCTCTACCTTTTAACTGCCTGGGTGAAACCGCTGTCGTTTGACTTAAAGGCAACTTAGCAGTAACTACAATTTATAATTATTCATGGCTTTGCTGGTGCTTATAAGTAAACAGTGTTTGAATGTGAGAGAAAGCAGTTTGGAGTCATAAACAGCGCTGGCAGGGGGGCCGAGTCTGGTTGATTAGAAGCACTCCTGGTGTAATTGGGGCCTAGTTAGACCTGATTGCTGGTCCTGTGTTTGGATAGCAAACTGCAGCGGTGCTGCTACAAATTACAGTGAGTCCATCCGTGTATACTTGCAGAGTTGTCATCATGGAGACCGCTCAAAGGCGTCTTGTGTCCCGCCGAGGAAATTTAAGAACATCGTTTCAGGTGAGATGTGTCAGGCCGTGTGTTGGAGAAGAGACTGAATTTGGGTCAGTTAGCATCTCAAAGACCGACAGCTCTAGCTCTGATGGTGCTTGCATGATATTAAAGGGCTTGCATGTGATTTGTGCTTAATTATGATACAAGAAAAACCAATGTAGAGAGACATAATCTATTTTTAGCCAAGTTATCCCTTTTGCAATCGTGAATGATAAGTACCGTAATTATGCTGTCAAGCAAAGATTGACAATAAGCATAGATGGCTGGCAGTGGCGTCAGGCCACAGGGTCGTTTGCTGCCATTATTTGTAAAATGATCAGACAGGAAACGGCGGTGACTATGAAATAGATGGCATCTTCTCTTCTGCGGCCTGTTTGAGTTAGAAATCATCTAACTAACCATGAATCCTTCATGAGTGTCTGTTTTCTGGTTTAGGCAGAGAATCCTCTTCACAGATCACCGTAGATATTAACCAGCAATAGAAAAATGAATGGTTTGGGTTGAATCGTTCATGCTTGTTGCAATTGCTCAGTGATGCCAGTGGCCTCTTGTTGGTCAGTGTGGCGGAGTGGTTGAGAACCTGGACTTGTGACAGAACGGTTGCTGGTTTAATCTCCACATGGAATGACACTTATTTTGCACATACTTATGGTTAGTAATTTGAACAACCCATAACCCTACGGTTTAAACTTTGGCACATTAAATATGCCACATCGTTTGTGTTATGGATACAAATGATAGCTATGATTTGTTGAGAAGGTATGCTATTACTTTTCTAAGTGAACTGTCTTATGATTTTTGCTTTGTGGAAAATAAAATGGGCGGGGGGGGGGACCAGCCCATCTAGAGACCAGAGCATCATAGAGACTCGGGGGTTGACTCTTTTGACCCGGGCCACTCAAAACAACTTAGCAACACCCTGGCAACCAGACAGAATATCCTAGCATTGTGAACAAGGAGTTTTTACAGACTAAAGGCCCTTTTTAATTCTTTGAGAATAGGGAAGTCCACACCACAACCATTACAGTAACGACACAAATCACTTTCAGAATGATTCTTTCCCCCAGTTGATGACACCACGTACATACTTACATTTTCCTCAAAAAAAATTTCAAAAGATGTTCAAAGCACAAGATGTTCAACATGCAAAGCAAATGATTGTAGAGTTGAAGGGATAGTTCATGTAATAAATTTAAATTTACTCGCTATCAGGTTTTTCCAACCTTGTATGATTTTATTTTACTGTTTTTTTATTTTATCTTATCTTATCTTATCTTATCTTATCTTATCATCTTATCCTGTCCTGTCCTGTCCTGTCCTGTGGTGTTGTGTCTGTTAAGCTCCAAAAACGAATAAAACAGCACAGAATTATGTCTAAAAGGCAGTGGATTTGATAAGAAAGATATAGTGCAAGACTTCTAGGTTTATGGTGATATTTGTGGTCATTTTTGAGCCCGAAACACATAGTCACTATGAACTGTCATTACACATAAAATTTACATTCTGCATGCAAGTCTTCATGCATGCAAGTTCTCCTTTTGTGTTCAATAGAATTAAGAAACTCACATGGGTTTGGAGTGACATGAGTTTACATTTTTGGTGCAACTATCCCTTTTACAATCAGCGAATTAAACATGTATGGAGAAATGAAGCTGAAGAACATTTGACGTGCTTTGCATTTCTTTATCCTGCTAACGTATTGCAAATGTCTCTGTGTTGTCTTTCAGATGAAAGTGAGGCAGTAGACAGCATGTACGACACAGAGCCCAATCTCGTGACTGGCGAGAGCGCAGAAGAGGAGACAGAAGACAGCATCATGTCCCCCATTGCGGTGGGGCCCTCGTCCCCTCAGCCCTGCAATGAGGACTTCACTCCTAAAGAGGGCTCACCCTATGAGGTGCCCGTCTACATTCCCGATGATATTCCCATCCCTGCCGACCTGGAGCTCCGTGAGTCGTCCGTTCCAGGGGCTGGCCTAGGAATCTGGGCCAAAGTCAAAATTTGCATGGGCGAACGCTTCGGACCGTACAACGGGCTGCAGAGCGCCATGGTGAAAGAGACCACTTATGGATGGGAGGTACGTGGAGATGAGGTGGCATGCATTTTACATGTTGCCTTTTATTAGCTTTACCCTGACGTTTACAACTACTCCGTTTCGGCCCCGTCCCAAATGGCTCACTTGAAGTGGCCATGCAGTCTCGTGGTCTTCTTTCAAGTATGTAAACCATACTGGTTTGGCTGACTTCTAAGTGTTCTAGGACCCAAGAACATTATGTCCAAGCAACATTACTTCACCAAAGTGTGGCCTCATAGAAGGTCTGCAAGGGTCAAGTGTGCTATTTGAGACAGAACCTTAGTTTAGACTCTGAAGATGAACAGAGACTCAAGATTCAAGGGCCAAGGGTGCGTGTGGGTAAGTCAACCCTGCGGTGACTAGCTCATAGCCTGTGGGAAAGACATGAGCACATTATGGGGCAAAGATGTTCATTCCATGTCTCTGGGGTTTTTTTTTTTTCTCATTTCCCCCTTTTCTTTTCCATCCTTCCCTGAATTTCATTTAAAGGCAATTTTCAAAACCCTGATTACTGAAGATATCAGCTTTTCTCCTCTGCCTACATCTATTAGAATACACTCATTTGGTCACGCCACATGATACGGGTTATGGGAGACGCGTGGCATTTGCGTGGAGCCATATTGAACTATTAATTTTCATTTCAACATGACATCGGAGGATATTGAAGTTGCTTCGGCAAGCTCATTAGGGCACATGCTGATTCCCCCCACATGACTGATCAGACGTGAGCCGCTCTCTCTCGTTCTCTTTCTCCTCTCTCTCTCTGTACTCTACTCCACTGATATATACCATTACACTCATTTAGAATTACATATGAGCAGGGGCAACCAGAAACGTTGTCCTGGGCCCTGTGATGGAGGGGGCCCATTGAGGTCCTGTATATTATAGCCTACTCACTGGGCCTGAGTGAGAGGGCCACCCGTAAGAATTTATGTCTGAAAAATGTTGGCCATTTTCTTTTTTGTTTATGCTTTCGGTTTCACCATTTCTAAACGCATTAAAACATTCCTTAAGATTTTCATTAAAATCAATGCAGAAAATAGTCAGATTTTAGAAATGCACAGTATGTTATTTCACTCAGATGTCCTATACTGCACCTGTAATAAGTATATAAGTGCATATTATATAAGTGCTAAAAACAGGCAGCATGAAAGATTGTATCCCATCGTGCAATGGACTTGACTTTTAATTTTTATTGCAATGAATGAACTGGGAAGTAATATAATTTTTTACGATTTTTAACATTTCTTAGAAACATGCTAAAAGTTAAAGACATTTTTCTAAAATATAAAATAAATAAATATGTAGCATGCTATAATTATACACTGCATACTTGTTCACATACTTTTTTTTTATTAATTGGCAGTATGCAGTTCCGAAGCATTAAAAAAATAGCCACTGAAACATGTAATAATCTGTGGAAAGGCATCAGCTTCACATCATGCTTTCATACAGGAGGCTTTTTTCCCCTCAAGAAAATCATATTTCTGCTTTCGACATGCCTAGCTTTATTCGCTAGAAAAGGCATTTTAGCTGTCTTGCTGCTTTGTGTTGGAATCTCCACTAATGATGCTCATCAGAATCCGACCCCAAGAGAAAGCTTCTCTCTCTCTCTTTCTGTCTCTGTCTGCCTGACACAACGCTCAGATTTCAGCCCTGATTTACACGCTCAAGTACTTTGGATTTATGTTTTATAAAGAGTACACTCAAGGCCCTGGTTGACAGCATAACGATTGACAAGGAGCACATCTATGGGTATTTGCTCACACACACACGCACACACGCACACACGCACACACACACACACACACACACACACACACACACTTGCTAAAGACCAGAGAGACATCTGTTGGACCATCTGTGACAAACCATCTATAAAAATTATACTTGTTAGCAGCTGCCGGGAAGCAGATGACAGTGTGTCGCCTTAATTTTAGGATATTCTATTTAATTGAATTATTTCTCTTTTTTTATTTTCTAGGGATTTTTTTATGTCATTTTTTTCTTTTAAAATGATTTCTCCAATCCTAGCTTAGTATGCAGACAACTAAGTAAAAAAGTGACTCTGTGGCAGTTCTGTTTTTTTGAGAATCCTCACACAGCAACAACCAATAGCGTGACTTTGGGGCGGGGCTATCTGTTTGTCCAGCCAATGACAGGCACGGAGGAGTGTTTGGGAAACATTTTTGCATTTCTATTTGTTGCTGCTGATTGTGCAGAAACCACACACTTCACCTTTAAGGGCTGTCATATGGCAATTTTTTTGCTCAACTATACTTTATGTTACATCTTAAGGTAGGGTGACCATACGTGCCATTTTCCCAGGACGCGTCCTGGCCAGGATTTCTATATTGCCTAAAATATCTAGGTTTCGGCTTTGTTTGCGTGTGCAGACCGATCGGTGTATGACATCTAAATACCATACAGACGGTTCCTTATGCTTTCAAAATGTTCTCGAGGTATTTTGATGTCAAACACCGATCGGTCTGGGGATCTGGGACGCGTCCTGGGAAAATGGCACGTATGGTCACCCTACCTTAAGGCATTAAATGTTTCACTCAAAAGAAAAATGAAACCAATCAGTCCCTATCATTCAGAAACGTCAAGCTCATAAAACATCTGCTATAAAATGTGGAAAAATAAAAGAACACATCTAAGCCACATCCTGTCTGCCCCGTTCGCTATGGTTTTAGGGTTCTGTGCTCTTATTAGGGATAGTCATAACAGTCAGACATAGATAGCATCGCTGCTGTCCCTGTGGACCTGGACTCGGCTACGTCACCGACCCTTAGACAAATAGACAGGAGTGAGAGAGCAGAGCAGCTAAGAGCAAAGAGAGTCCGAGGTGTTAATAGTGCGGGATTACAGAGCGGCCACAACGGGCCAAACACAGACAGATATCCACCGAGTGTTTGGATGACGGATGTGCTCAGAGCTCACATGGTTTCTCATGACCTGCAAAACATGCATATGCCATAACCAATGTCATTCTCTGGGTTTCTGTCTGTGGTACAATCATGACTTTTCCATATTTTAGGATTCAAAGGATCAAAATTCACACACACACACACACACACACACACACACACACACACACACACACACACACAGACACACACACACTTTTCCAAAAACCCAGTGAGCTGCTATGTTGTTGACTGTCTACACATGAAAAGAACCTCATAAGTGAATGATTTGAAATGCTCTACACAGGCAGTAACCCCACACACCACACAAATACAGCTCCTCGTGTAAGAGTTTAGCATTAGCATTTTTGCTAAGTTAACTTTGGTTGACATGTTGCTAAGTCAACAACAAAAGAACTCCAAAGAATAATTGTATAGAACACACATATATTTGGTTAAATGCAATTTTCAGTACAAACTGAATGCAATGTTTCATGACACTTCGTTGTGATTTAATTAAATGTATTACAGTTTAAATTTATATTAAATGCAATTTGAAATTAAGCAAGACTTTATATGTAATTTCATAATAACATATTGATAATTACATAAACTACTGACTTTGAAATATGGTTAAGGTTTATTGACAAATAGACTGTCAAGCATTGCAGACTAAAATATACATTAATGTTAGTTCTATTGAAACGTGTGTGCAATGTATTCAAGTATGTTTGTAATTACATATGTGTAATGATGAGGTTACAATGTAGTCCATTTAAAGCATGAATATATATATATATATATATATAGTATGAACATTTATATATATATATATATATTTATTTCTTTATTGAGGAAAGCTACAAATGCACATTTCATATAATTAATATCCCCTTCTTTTTCACCAGGGGCTGGTTAAACAGCTTATCCAGAAAATCTGGTGTGTTTTATTTCAACAGGATATAGAACATTTTTCTCTCCTCATCTGGCATTTCGGGGGGATTATTTTCTCTGAGCTCATGGCTAAGAATTTTTGGATCTCGCTACATGCAACAGTCATGAATATGCCTTAAAATGCCGTCTTAATAGGCAGCTCACTAGTTTTTCGGATAGAGCCGATGTCTGAGAGTGTTTGGTTGTGGGTTAATGAGAAGAGGCTGCAGGTAGAACAGGAAGTGCTCTTCTGTCTGTCCCCCAGGCTGTCCTGTCTCGACTGAAGAGGTGTTAACTCAGATTCATTTCAGCGAGACGGACAGCTCAATCTCCGCGATGCTTAGCCCCAGGGCTTCACTCCCAGAGACACTCTCTCTCTACCCACAAAGCACTGCTCAGGAACAAGAGACAGAGCCCGTCTATTTAAAAGCCATTATGATTCCCTTTATCACAACATATTATAACAGTGACCCCGGACACAGACACTTTCAATCAGATCTGTTTCTGAGCGGGACTCTTGGGGCCCAGAGAGGAGGAGTTTAGGGGGTGGATGGTGTGATGGCACTAGCTGGGGTATTGACGGAAGTGCCGAACACAGTATAGAACGTGAGGCGGGACGCTGGCAATCCAACGTGAGATGCTGTCAGATTAGTTCCATAGGGGACCGCTGTCACCGAGCCTGTGTGTGTGTGTGTGTGTGTGTGTGTGTGTGTGACCGTCTACTGCCAGACATGACTAGAGGGGACAGAGTGAACACAGGACGTGTGTGTCTGTTTCTGAATTATCCATCTTCCTTGAGACAATTACTGACAGGGAGTGTCAGTTGTCAACAAGTGCAAGAAAAAAAAAAACATTAGAAAGGACAATGAATTTTAATGTGAAGTAGAAACATATTTAACTGCATTTTAAAGGGATAGTTCACCCAAAATTGTCATAATTTACTCACCCATGTCATTTAAACCGTACTTTCTTTCAGTTGTGAAACCGGTGTTATATAAGACTTATTTATATACTATTATATTACGTATTAATCTCTTGAATCAGCTTGCATTTTATATTTACATTTTAATTTGAATGTAATTTTTAGTTATTTTTTTGTTATGTGCTTTTGTCATGTATACTTTTTTGTAGTATTTCTATTAAATGAAATGAAATTATTTA